GTGACTGGAACCGTTTGAGAGAGCAGGTTAGAGCGAGTCACAGAGTAATACTCGTCATCTAACCCAACTAAAAATTGATGATTTTTTTCTTCTTCCCGATCGGCGGCGATTTTTTCTGCCACGTCACAGGTACATGCCCCACAATTACAAGCGTGCAGCGGTTTTAAGCGTCCCAGTTCATCAAAGAGAGACAAGATCCGATTGAAGTAATCATCGACGCTCATCCCTTTGGTCTGCCGGCACCCGACGATGTCTGCGCGCAATTGTTGGAGCCTAGGACTGTTCGCCACACAGTACCTTTTCTCCAGGTAATCCCACAGCGGTTTGCCCTCCACATGGAATGGAATCGTTGCTGCACTTTTGCCTTCAATACTACGAAGAATCCATGATACAATCATAGAATTCACCGTCTCCCAATTAAGCATCTTCCGCGGTTCCGTAGGCTTCTTGATCGTGCCATCCACGAATACGAACTTTCTTTTCACTTTTAACCAAAAGTGTTATCGCCATGGCCCAAGCTACGTAATTGTCTCCGGTAAGAATTACGTGGGTTATAACATTACTGGGTTGATCTCCGGCACCCAAGTAATACGGAGAGGCCACGAGATAGGAAGCTGCTTCAAACTCCACGGCTATCCCAAATGGTGGGCGGACCGCAACCGGGGCGGCAAGGGGCAGTCTTCTGGACGTGGTGCACCACCTGGGAAGAAACTGGCACAAGCTCATGCAGTGATGGACGAAGGTCCGAGAGGAGGAATTGAAAGTTCTGTGGGGCAGTTTAAACCGGAGCAAGTGCATGCACTTCTCAATTTAATTAATAATTCTGATGATAAAGTCGTTGATCGTATGACTGGTAAGACTCGTTCTTCTTTTTGGATCCTTGATAGCGGGGCCACACACCATGTTACCGGTAACGTTGAATTTTTATCCAATTTTACAAGTGTTGAAAATTGGACGATTGGTTTGCCTAATGGGCAGCGGGTTGCGGCTAAGATGATCGGCGATGTCTATTTATCTGAATATCTTACTTTGAAAAATGTGTTGTGTGTCCCACACTTAAAGTGCAACTTAATCTCTATTGCACAACTTGTTGATGATATGAAATGTATTGTTAAATTCACTGATAATTTGTGTGCCATACAGGACTGACTCTTGGGGAACCTGATTGGAGTCGGTGAGAGAAGGGACATACTCTACTACTACCGAAGCATTCCAAATATTCAACTGATGACGGGTTCGACAGTTGACATTTTTGACTTGTGGCATCGCCGTATGGGACATCCCTCCGATAGAGTTCTCAAGTTAGTGGCAGTTGTTGGTTGTAATTTAGGTAGCAACTCTTTGAATAAACCGTGTGTGGCATGCCCTATGGCAAAGAAAAAACGTGACAGTTTTCCTATTAGTGACAATAAAGCAACTCACATTTTTGAATTATTACATTGTGATTTGTGGGGACCCAACCGCACTCTCTCTTCTTGTGATGCTGTGTATTTTTCAACCATTGTGGATGATTTTTCTCGTGCGGTTTGGGTATATCTGTTGCGTACCAAAAATGAAGTTCAAAAAGTTTTTTCTTCATTTTTGGCTATGGTGGAGTGCCAATTTGAGAAGTCTGTTAAAAGGATTCGTACCGACAATGGTACGGAAGTTACTTGCATGGCTGATTTTTTTTGCTACTCATGGTATTTTATTTCAAACTTCTTGCGTTGGAACTCCTCAACAAAATGGCAGGGTAGAATGGAAACATCAACATATTCTGAATGTTGCTCGTGTTCTCATGTTTCAAGCCCGGTTGCCTATCCGTTTTTGAGGGGAGCGTATTCTTGGAGCAGTTTATTTAATTAATCGCACACCTTCGGGTCTACTTGGCAATAAAACACCTTTTGAGTTAGTATGCGGGAAGCCCCCGACGTATGACGAATTGCGTGTATTTGGATGCTTATGCTTTTCGCACAATCAACGTGCTAAAGGGAACAAATTTGCACCGCGGGGACGTAAATGTATTTTTGACGGCTACCCCAATGGGAAAAAGGGATGGAAGTTATTTGGTTTGGACATAGAAGAATTTTTTGTGTCACATGATGTTCTTTTTCATGAACATGTCTTCCCCTTTACGGAGTCAACTGAGCCAGTCAGTTCCACTCCTCCCTGTTCTCCCATCATAGGCTTTGATGATGACTTTGAAGATATTTCCTCTGCTGCAGTTGACGAAGACTCTTCATCCGAAACTATGGGTGAAAGGAATGGGCACACTACATATTCGGCCACTTTAATTGATCCCTCAGGTAATGACGAGACCTCTTCCGAAATGGGGGGAAGGGGCGTCCTCCACTGCTCCAGTTTTGGGATGCGGACACCGTGAGAAAAGGCCCTCTGTTCTGCTTCGGGAATTCATCACCCTTGCTACTAGTAGTACAAGTCCCTCTCTGCACTCGCCGGTCCCGTCTTCTTCCCCAGGCACGTCCCACTCCTTAGCACATTTTTATCAGTTTTAACAATTTTATAGCTGCAGTCCACGCTGGCGACGAACCCCGCTCTTTTGCCGACGCCATGCAGGATGAAGGGTGGCGCACGACTATGGCAACCGAGATCCGTGCTCTAGAAGACAATGGGACATGGGTTATGACTTTGCTGCCCCCCAACAAGTAAGCATTGGGATGTAAATGGGTTTACAAAATCAAGTACGGTACGTACTTGCTCCCGTAGCTTGGATTATACCGAGACATTTGCTCCCGTAGCTAAAATGGTTACGGTACGTACTTTTCTTGCAATTGCTGCTGCCAAAAATTGGGAAATCCACCAAATGGATGTTCACAATGCTTTTCTTCACGGTGATCTTAACTAAGAAGTATACATGAAACTTCCACCTAGTTTTACCCCTAGCTCCCCCAGTATGGTCTGTCGTCTCAAGAAATCTCTATATGGCTTGCGTCAAGCTCCCTGGTGTTGGTTTGCCAAGCTCACCAGTTCTCTAAAAAATTATGACTTTCGACAGTCCTACTCGGATTACTCCCTCTTCATTTTTCAGCGGGGCACCGTGCAACTATCCATTCTAGTATATGTCGATGATTTAATTATTTCGGCATTACGATCTTTCAAGAGTTACTTGAGTACTTGCTTTCACATGAAGGATCTGGGAACATTAAAATATTTTTTGGGTGTTGAGGTTGCCTGCAACGCCGATGGTCTCTTCTTGTGCCAACGGAAATATTCACTGGATATTATTGCTGACACCGGTCTTCTAGGGGCATAGCCGGCCAGCACGCCTCTTCCCCGAAACCATTCTCTTGCTCTTGCTACAGGGGAAGTCATTACAGATCCGGAACCCTATCGCAGACTTGTTGGGCGTCTTATTTATTTGTCATTCACACGACCCGATCTTGCATATGTTGTGCATATTTTGGCGCAGTTTATGCAAGCTCCTCGTCAGGATCATTGGACAGCTGCTCTTCGTGTGGTGCGTTATCTCAAAGGTACACCTGGTCAGGGTATTCTTCTCAGTTCTCAGTCTGACCTATCTCTCTCGGCATGGTGTGATTATGATTGGGCTAGTTGTCCGCTCACTCGCCACTCTCTCACTGGATGGATGGTTTTTCTTGGCTCTTCTCCTATCTCTTGGAAAACCAAGAAACAACATACGGTCTCTCGCTCCTTGGCTGAAGCCGAATATCGCTCCATGACATCCGTTACCTCTGAACTCAAGTGGCTTAAAGCGCTTCTTCTCAGCCTTGGGGTGCCACACTCCCAGGCCATACCTCTTTATTGTGAGAGCCAGTCGGCAATGCATATTGCTCAAAATCCGGTGTTTCATGAACGTACGAAACATATTGAGGTAGATTGCCATTATATTCGTGATGCGGTTCAAGATGGGACTTCGTACCGTTCATGTCTCCACTTCGGACCAGCTTGCGGATATTTACACAAAATCTTTGGGAGTTCAACAGTTTCATCATTTACTTCGCAAGTTGGGCAATTGTAATCCGCTTGCTCCAACTTGAGGGGTATTGAGAATAATATTTATTTAGTCCATCTTGTAAAAAGTCTAGGAACGTAGGGCTGTTATTTGGTGGAAGCCCATGTATATAACTGTATAAATACTCCTTACTAATTAATGAATAGCATGCATATTTTACCTTAAAATTGTCAAGCTCCCAATTAGAGAACCTTCAGATTGAAGTATAGCCCGTATAGGGAATTAATGAATAGCTTGCTTCCGACGTCCAGGTTGACTTGCTGGACTGAATTGTAGGTTCAGAAGGAATTGAAGACGATTTTGCAGGTGTGCGAGAAACAAAACTGAAGGCATTGTGGAGAATGGAACAAGTGGATATATTTATATTAAAGAGAATAATGTCAGAATTGCATAAAGATTCCTCATATAATACTCCCTCCATCCCACTTACAATTGGACAAGGACAGACACGCAAACCAATAAAATGTGGTTTATGTGGTTGATATTTAATTGATAAAATAAGAATAAAGTAAGAATGATTTAGAGTCACACAAACTTTATCAAATTTGCTTTGGGACAATCTTAGTGGAATGAACCGAAAATGTAAAATGAGACCATCTTAGCGGGACAGAGAGAGTAATTATTATACCCTCAATATGTGCGAGAGATACAACGTGCAGGTTGTTGCCTTTAAGAAAATGAAATTGCTGACTCGAAAGACTCTTGGTAAAAATATCAGCTAATGAGAGATGAGTTGAAACATATTGAACAATCAAATCTCCATGTGCAACACGCTCACGAACAAAATGATATTTAATCTAAATGTGCTGAAATATTAACAGTTAAATAAGTTATGGCAATCACAAGAAGATAAGTTGTGCCCAAAGATTACATACACAAAACTATTTCAAGGGAACACACGCCTAAGTTGATTCTCTTGGGTGGAATGAAAAAGTAACCATTTTTGCGTTTAACTTCTATAGCTATCATTGGGTTTCGATAAGTTCTACTTGTAATTACGGGAGAGAAAAAGTGCGTGTGAACTTGCCTTTTTGAATTTAACATATCCTGCAATAAGCCCCAGAAGTGCGGAAAAACCTTCTACGAGGATGAGAACACCCAAGCACCACGCCCTACAATTGATTAGTTAATTTAATTTAATCAACCATTCTTAGGAAAATAAAAAAATGACATAATAATAATAATAATAATAATATAATAATAATATTAATATTAATAATAATACAATAATGACAGTTACCACTGTACCAAATAGCAGAGGCTTTGACAGGCCCTATATTAGACTGAACCGATACAGACTTTATTTTTGAAAAATGCAGATATTACTACCCAAATAATTAATCAAAATTGAAATTTGGAGTAGGTCGAGGTCTAGGCTGGCCCCGAGCTAAGCCCCTACCAAAAAGAGTTCAATAGAAGCTAAGTTGCAAAGGTAGGAATTCTAAGTTTCATTACAAAATTCTGAAAATTCCCTCGCATGAAAAATGCAATTCGCATTACACTATAAATATGGCAATTTAAAAATCAAATAGTGTCAATTTCAAATCAGAATATGACATACTTAGATCATACAAAAATGAATTTAAAAAAAAAGAAAACCAAGAAACTATTTTTCAAATGTAATATCAAGTGATTTTTAGAGCAAATTATGGCATTTTTAAAAAGTAGTAGTAACCAGTAATGTCATAAATCGACAGTACTTAAAATCAATATCCAATTCAAACTTAATTAATTTAATGGGAAAAATAAAAAATGAGACCTCTCTCTACTAGACGCATGAAAAAATAACCAAAGAGAAAAAAGGGAAGAAAGAAATTAATCAAGGGACAAGAGAAACAGAGGAGGGGAAGAAAAAACGACATACTCGGGCACCTCAAGTGAGCGCGACATGAGGAAAAACTGAACCACTGACCACAGTAGTTAGAAGATGCAAAAGCGTATATACTTAATGAGGTGATAGAGGTAATTGGAACTCCTATTTAAAGAAGTAAGAAATTAAGTTCTGAGTCTTCTGACTTCTAACTATGCTTTTTAATGATTTTATTCGTCTTTTTTAAGACAACTTCCAAAATAAACGTAGTATAATGTATTTCTTTCTTTTTATTTTTTACTAGATTTTTCACCCGTGCTTCGCACGGGATGCATTTAGCAAACAATATTTTTTTGAAAATATATAGAAATGTTATGATAAAGATTGTTTCTATTAAATTAAAAATGAAGATAAAAAAAACCAAATTACTCCGATTCTCGTGTAGTACTATATACTTCATTCTAAACAACATTTAAAGTCTATACTCCGTAATTGTAAAGAATTATGTTCATACAGTTTGGTTGTGACAATTTATGTATAGAAAATCATTACAAATATCATATACTTTCCCCTATGGGTGGACTCGGGCCGGGTGGCCTGACCCGGAACCTGCCCGAACCGGCAATGTTCCGGCCCGGTCAGTGACCGGTTCGGGTAGGCCCGGCCCGCTGGGGTTCCGGTCCGGGCTCGGGCCCCTCAAAACGTGAACCGGCCCGGCCGGTTCGGGCCCGGTCCGGGCCATTTTATTTTATTTTTCTTTTTTTATTTGAATTTTTTTTAAGTTTTTGGGTTGGGCTGGGTATTTTTGGTCATTTGAGATGGTTTGGGGGGGGGGGGGGGGGGGGTTAGGGGTTAATTAGGAAAAGGCAAAAAAAAAAAAAAATTGAACCAAGCCCGGCCCAGACCCGGGGTTACCCGGCCGGTTCCGGGCCTCCCCTTTCCTGAACCGAGGCCCGGCCGGGCCAAGGCCCGTACCGGGCCCGAACCGGCCCGAGTCCAACCATACTTTCCCCGTCCCGCCAAGATTGCCTTTTCTTTCCTTTTTGGTGTTTCCCACTAACATTGTCTTATATCAAATTTGATACGGAGTAAAATTTATGCGATTCTAAATTATTGTTACTTGATCAATTTAATATATACGACATAAATCCACTTTTTTAATAACTTCATCACCTCCTAATTCCCAACATTAGCGGAAGGGATGTAGCAACTTTTAACAAAGAACAATTAAAGCAATAGCGGTTGACCAACCATCATAGTCACATTAAATAGATTTGAACGCATATGAAACTCTTAGGATGTTTTTAATTAGATTGAAATTTTCTAGTTTAACCTGATCTGATCTGATTTTGTCTAGTATGGTAAATGTCTGGGTGTTGTGTTAAATTTATCAAGATCTTGTATGAAATGGTCTGACCGATTCTAGGGCTTAAATAAATCCAAGTAAAAACAATTTTACTAAATAAAAAAATTATATGCTAAGCAGAAATACATAACAATATCATCAAGTAAAAATTATATGCTAAGCAGAAATACATAACAATTTTACATAACAAAATAAAAATTATATACCAAGAACTTCTCCCTTAAGTACAAAGCTTCTCCATCTCCCTTACTTGGTGTATTTCTCAAGGCTGACTTTTATCCGTTTGAACCTATCATCATTATAATCATCATCTCCTATTGATTTTTCCCCAATAATGCACCTCCAACCAGGCAAGTAAACTGCTGTCTTCCAGGGCAGAGCACCCGCCCTGCTAGATATTTAGTGTCATTTGGTTGGAGGGCGTCACTGGCTACACAAACATTGTTCCTGGCAATGTCTCCTAACAACACATTCCATGGGAGTCTCAGATTTAGCTTAGAACTGGAAATAGCGCAGTGAGTTTTCTCAAGAATGTCAGTCACTTCCTCAGAACTGGAAATAATGCAGTGAGTTTAAACAAATATTGATTAAACTCTATAGAGACTAATAGAGTAAGTAGGTTCTAGAGTTTAATATCATTTTTCTTAAAAGCATAATATCATACTACTTTTGTTAAACAGAGAAGTAAATTATTAAATATAGACCAAGTTTTCATATGCATTGTATATTTGTTAAAGAACTAACAGAGCAATAGTGCAGTATGATATACCATAGTTATTAGTTTCTTGAGTTTTCAAGTTCTTTCCATTTAAATGTCTAAGTTTTGAATGTATACTTCAGAAGCATCTGCAAAAAGACATGAGACTATGCTATACAATCTTATTTATAACCATTCAAATCCCACATAGTAGGGATATCTCTGTATTAGTACAAATTTAAAAAACATTAGAATAAGATCTAATGTACGAACTTGTTTCTACAAAAGGCAGTATTAACTCTGATAGCTCTTATCAAATGCATCTTTATACTTTCATTCCTTATATTCTTTTTGACTCATATAGATTCTTTGCTTGACAAAAGTTATGAAAATAATTAATGCATTTGATTAAAAACAGCTTTAAAAATGAAGCTCAATGCACAGTTTTTTGTAGTAAAATGAAACTCAAGAAAACTGCTGAAATTGAATTTCGGGTATCAAGGCTTAAAATTGAGCTAATCCATGCCTACACTGATAAACTATTCATACCAAAAGGATTATATCAATGAGGGATAATTCAGTTTTAACAAAAAAAAAGTAGTTAAAAGTCCGTTCCTGGATTTAAGTGAATAAAATAACAACTTTAGAATGAAATTATAAACTCATTTTAAGTCCAAAAAATCAAATAACTTAAATAAAGAAAATGCAGAATTTGTACTAACCATGAGATTGTCTTGTGTGTTTCAAAAGTAGGTGCTTTAGAAATTATTTCACTTAGACTACTAACCAAGTTAAGAATCTTATTCATAAAAACATTAGCACATATATGTCCTTAATGCTATCCTTTTGCTTCTATCCTGTGAATGAAAATAACTACTTTCACTCAAACAACTTAAATAAAGAAAATGCAGAATTGGGGACTAACCATGAGATTGTGTTGTGTGTTTCAAAAGTAGGTGCTTTGGTAACTATTCACTTGGACTACTAACCAAGTTAAGAATCATATTCATAAAAACATTAGCACACATATGTCCTTAACATCATCCTTTTGTTTTTTTCCCTGTGAAAGATAGGTGGACGGATTTGTCTCTTATTCTCATTCAAATCTGCTGATTCCGTTGATTGTATCACTTTCTTTTGTTTTTTTTCAAATTTATCTTCATACCAATTCATATGAATTCTTTTTTTTCCTTTGCTTACAGTATATGCATTGGAAGTATGTTTGTTTGCTATTTTAGGGGAAATAGTTCATTTGCATTAAATTATGTTAGGGAGTATGTGTTATTATAAAAATGATTTCGTTTCTCTAAGATTAAAAATCCTCATTTGTCCAGTTATAAGACACCAAATTGAGAGGTAATAGGTGAGTTTGTTTTAACTATTTCCTCATTCAATATGTAAAACATAATTAAATAACGAATATTATATATAGTAAAATAAGAGAGTATGAAACCCCTATTCACTTTGCCATGTTTTCTGTTCTCAATCGCAACCTAAATTTCATGAAGATATACTTTGAAACAGAAATCAAACAAACCTAGGTGCAACATAAAGAAGAATATCACAAATGGGATATGAATTACAACATAAATCACACTCAGGAATCACAAAAAGGGTAGGTAGATGGAAAGAACATACCTGCGATGGTATTTACGCTGAAGCCAAGGCTGACCTGATAAAGAGAGAAGCGAATAGTCATTTGAACTCTGGTGAAGGTGAAAAAAATCCTAATAGAGAAAACTCTAATGAAGGAAGAAATAAAAAATCGAGTGAACAAAATCCAAAAGGAGATATTTCACATGAAGCCGAACAGTTTCAGATAAATAAGAAATCACAACGAATAAATTGTAATTGGAAGTAGGACGGAATTATAATACCTGCGATGAGCAAAGAAGGAAAGAGTTGTTGATGAGCGAGGATGATGAAGATAATGGGGTGTAGGGACGATGAAGATGATGGGGTGTGGAGACGATGAAGATGATAGAGTGTAGGGCTGAGAATCCTGAGTTGGTCTGGGATAAGAGGAATGAACGATCTGAAAGCGGTGGATCTTTTTGGACTGTGCGACTGAGCGGGAAAAATGAAGTTTTACAAAGTAGGACAATTATGTAGAAGGATTAAAACTACCTATGTTCTACAGGTCACAATACTTACTCAGAATAAGAAAAAGGCACCAGAATCTAAGATGAATAATCAAGGACACTCTAATTAGATGTTCTAGAAAGTAACACTCACCACATTGGCACATTCCGTAATATGAAAAATTGCAAACAGTTTAACAATTACAAAAAAAATCAATTACAAAAAAGAACAAAATTGATTAATAAAAGCAAAGGGAATTCATGTACTTGATGAAGATCGAAAAGGAAGATTGCTGAATCATAAAAGGAATATACTCACCACCTTCATTCCCGTAGTTCATAGTTACAATCTCAAAAGTGGCAGAAGGAAATAAGAAGATAACACTTTTGACTTATGAAGGTTAGTTTCAGCAGAGTACACATATCATCATCATCATTACCCCAGTGCCGCAAAGGCTCCCACCTACAGTGGGGTGAGGGGGGCAGATGTACGCAACCTTACCCCTATACTAAAGCACAGAGAGACTGTTTCCGGATGACCCAAGGAGCAGAGTACACATAATGAGGAATAAATTATATTTAAAACAAATAAATGGGGAAAGAAAAAATCAAGAGTCAAATGCAAGAAACTTGATACAACAAACATACCATGAATATTATTTGTTAGAAAGAAAGAAAGTAAATACCATCTTCAGGATTTGAGTGAGAAGGAAGACTCACTACTATGCATTGAGACTCCTGTTGTAAGCACCATTGTGATATCCTTTCATAAAACAATTGTTGGTGTTTGATATGCAAGAGTTTGTTGCAGGCAAAATGGAAATGAAACATTACATACCCTAAAAAGTATAACAGATACATTCCTATCATTACAACAAAAGAAAATTCACTTTTCAAGTTCAAATACAAAATAGTAGTCTGTCATTTTTTTTAAAGTATTAGTGTATTACTGTTTGTTAAGAGGGAGAGGGTCCACTTTCACAACTGTATACTGTATAGCAATTAACTACTTTCCTCTTCACAATAAAATTCTCACTTC